GACTTATTATATACTTTGTTATTCTGAGCTTTTTATTCTTATGTAGGTTTCTACTGGACTGACTGCCCCTTCTTCTGATCCTGTCAGCACCACTGATGATCATGCAGCGGCATCCGGCTATAAAGAGGTGACTTGATGATGACGATCCCGATAGCGTACTCATGCGGGATGTGATGCGCCTCAGGCCAGCGACTGCATTGAAGCACACTGGATGCGGGACACATTGATTTTATTCTTTTTTTTGTATTATATATAAATAATATTTTTGTATCTACATTAACAACAACTTTTATATAATATGTGCATTACTTTTTTATTTCTCCGTTAATTAGCTAGTTTCGTACTACAACACAAACACAAGTCGTAAAGAAGTAAAATTCCATTCCAATGACTGAAAATAAAGTTCATTACAACTACTTTAGCTTAATAAAAACGCACGACAACACACATAAAGATAACTTGATACACTAAACACATACATTTAGTCACCGCCGCCCATTATTCTCTGCTCCAACCACTTAAATTGTTCTAACAACTTTTTTTTTTCTTCTTCTACCTCTTTAAGTTTCGCTTTCAACTCCACAACCTCTTTTTTAAGTTGTTTTTCACGTTCCCACTTTTTAAACACAAATCATTAAGATCGTTCAACAATCCTTTGTAGTATTCCTGATGACAAGGTTCATCAATCCATACCTCAAAATCGCAAATAGGTTCGCCGGGAACCTTATAAAATTTGTTCAAACATTCCCAGAAGCGGCGTCCAGCTGTACCATTATCCCAACAACTTTTCATCTGGCATTTTTTTCCGCACTTGCACATTGGGACATAAATAGGCTGAGACATTTTTCTGTTAAAAAACTTGCTTTTCAAGGAAGATTTACTATTAGTTATTTTTTAGCGAAGAAAATATGTAGAATGAGCTCGTCATTTATAGGAAAGACAACACACATAACGTAGTATTTAACCGCCCTATATATAGACATAACATATTATTTAACCATGCTATGCCTTGCGTGTTAAATGTTCTTACAAGTACGAAACAACTTTATGTCAGATCGACAAGACAACACACATACATAACGTATTATTTAACCGCGCTATATATAGACATAACGTAGTATTTATCCGCGCTATACTTTGCGTGTTAAATGTTCTAACGGGTACGAAACAACTTTATGTCAGTTGGGTAGCTTTTTCAGATCGACAAGACAACACAGTCATAAATTAATCAGATTTATGAAAGTTCAATGTTGTTTCTAGTTCTTCCAAATATATAATTTTTTTTATTATCATTGAAAAACTAAAATAGAAAAATTCAACTCATAATTAACAAACATAATTTTATTTTATAAATTTTGCAACATAAACAAAACAACTAAATATTACAACACAAACTCATTGATAGTTAGGCACAATAGAAGAACACCCACCCCGAGCTTGATTATTGTTGCCACCCAAAAGACATTTTCGACAGTCGTGTCCTGTTTGCGAGCATATACCACATCTGCGCGTATAAACGGTATCACTAACATCCATTTGGTTCCGTATACGCGTTCTCTTCTTCACCTGCATTCGACGCAAATAGGACTTGTTACACACCATTTTAAATGGTTCAGACGGCAAATAATGCTCAGCACTCACTAGCTGCAACTGCCCATTATATGTGTTTAGGTACGTCGCAACACTATATTGTTGATCAACATAGTTGGTTACACCTAAACCAACTTGTTGAAAGCACTTGATGGCATGTGAGCAAGGCATGTAGTAGATGGACCATTTCCCATACGAGCATAACCTTGTAGATTCATTTACAGTATGTACTTTATTACCCCGATTTTGATGGATAGCGGTGCGAACTTCAAAAACATTTCTTTCGTTATCATACTGCAAAAATGAATGTCAATGCGCTCGCCGTCTGTATTTCTCAAATCTCTGTATCGGCACTGGCATAAATTCAACACCCCTTTTCATCAATGACGTTGCAGCTGCAGACCTTTCAACAAACCTCTCCGCCATCTTCTTGAACGACATCCGCACCATGGCTATGACAGGCAATCCTCTTACCGACTTCAATAACCTGTTGAAAGACACTGACACATTTGTGTCAGAGTTCCCCATCGTCTGCCACCATCCGCATGTAAAGTCCAATTTTCAAGGTCATGTCGCATTAACCAACGATAGGCTGCCTCATCTTCTTGCCTGATATATTCCATGTGCCTTCGAATTTATGTTGTTGGTGGTCTGCTGCTGCCATCCACATCAAATCATGCAGATCCTTGTTGGGATGTGCCTTCTCGAAATTGGCTTTAAGATGCCTAACATAGTAACGATGGTAGGCATAAGGTTCTTGCCATGCAGGCAAGTTCTCCACAAAACTTAAGATACCACCATGCCGATCAGATATTAGACAAATACCGGAACGCTGTTTGACAACGTGCTCTTTCAAGTGGTTCAAAAACAGCGTCCACGTCTCTTGGCTTTCATTGGCACAAATAGCAAAAGCTAGAGGAAATATCTGTCCATTAGCATTTATTGCCACGGCTATCAACAACTTGATATCGTACTTTCCATAGACATGAGTGTCATTTATGGATATTACGGCCGGCAATTTGAAAAACCATCAATTGTTGGTTTAAACGCCCATAACACGTAATTGAATGTATATTCTGGTTTACCTGGAATTCGATCAAGCTTCCATTCAACAACCATCCCGGGGTTAAACTGTTGCAGTGCAGCCATGTACCTAGGCAGCTCTGCAAATGACTTATCCCAGTTACCATAGACTATTTCAAACGCTCGTTTACGCCCGAGATATGCCTTTCTTTTAGTAATGGCATGGCCATGTTCCTGGTGGACTGCTGTAATGCACTCTTTGATTTTATACCTTATGGACGCTTCGATGTTTGGAATAAGAACGAGAGAAATCAAGTCAATATCTAAGTTAAAGTGATTCACGTTGAATGTGTCCATTTCGCATGTGTGGGTGGGAATGTATTTACCCACTTTCCACAGACCTGTCTTCTTCTTGCTCGCACGCAACATCAATGACATGGCCAAAACCACATGCGACAAACAACCTTGTATACAACCGGACTTGACTCCCATACCGTCATCTCACGACATTCTTTTACGTTGTGCATTTTACAAGCCCTGCTTAGGCGCGCTTTATCAGGAAAAAGCATGCCCTTTGCCAGCACCATTGGTCTAGACTCATCCCACATTGCTGTCCGAATTTCATCAAAATCCCTTGTGATAGCTTCCACATCCGGTATGTTTGGCAAGTTATCCAGTAAGGAATCTCCCTTGAATGAAACGGCACTTGGGACTCGTACACTCTTCGTCTAGGGGGTGGAGAATACTCTTTCGTCAAATCAGGTCCTTCCTTCTCGTCCTCCTCATCACCATCCTCACGAAGAAAGGGTGTCTCGTCTCTAGATTCATCAGCATTGTTGTCGTAATCACTGTTCTCTTCCTCACTTTGTGCATCTGCCAGATCCCGATTTAATACGTCGTCTTCGGACAATTGAGTGAGTACATTTGGTTCAACTTGCTCGTTTTCACTGCACAATCAACAAAATAATAAGATGTTGAACTTAATAAATACTTTCCATATAGCCGTATCACTTCACTTACAAGTCGTAATGTGATGAAATTCCATGATGGACATTTTCATTTCAGTGATGGCTCCCATATGGACCACCATGATCCAACACCCCAAAACAATGCTTGGGTTCAAAATTTGTAAAATTCATATCCGGCATGCACCCCCTGTTAAATATATGAGCATTAATACAAATTCAATACAACAAAAATGTACATCGTAACACAAAGGAAAATTGAAGCTTACCACTCGTCTTGTGAATTATGTAAAGCAGGCGGGGATAAGTTTAAATCAAGGAAAACTCTTTCATTCGGAACCTGTCCGGCAAAAACTCCTCCAGAATAGCCACCCGATGACTGGAGGTTATCCGGAACCTGTCCGGCAACCTCATTGTTTGGAACGTCTTCGACCTTGACGTACATATCCAACATATTTATTACAAGATATTCCCGGTATTCATCTGGAGTCCTCAGAAAATCCCTCAAAGTTTCATCATCGTAGATGTTTAACTCCGAGTAAAAAGCAGCCTCTTGCGGAGTGACGGAATACGGATATCTTCCGGTTACTTTAAGTATCACTGAACGTTTCCTCACACCCATTTTTGCATAACAACGATATCAATTTATTGTACTCTATTGTAAGTGGTAATTTAACATGACCCTGTGGAGATAAACTATACCTCACAGAGTTATTCTCCATCACAACCTCACCCCCCCTCCCAATATAATGAAACTCTTATTCTACGTTCTTCAGACATTACGAAAAAAATGTTTCAACAACAAGAAAAAATTGAACGGGAGTTAGAATTTTATGTGAACGAATTTTCCTAAAATCGTAACCACTTTATATAGGAAATGGCTAGTCCGGGATATGAAAATTTTTGTCGTATAGCGTTCTTTAAATATACACTATACACATTTAAATTATTGTGTTTGTCAGTTTACTTATTGGTGGGTCCATATTCAGGGTATAGCGTTTTTTTAGGCGTTATATGTATAGCGTATGAATAAAAGACGTTATACCTTAACGGCAGACGTTACCGTTAATGTATAGCGACTTGTTTTTGCATGCTATATATAAAAAATATTTTTTTAAAATATCTATTAAGATAATTTAAGTCCAAAAAAATAATATTTAGGTTCCGGACAGCCCGCATCATTACGTATAATTTAGTTTCGATATATCTCAATGAAGCTGAACTCTAAAAACAGTGCATTATTATCTCCACTCGAAGTCAAGTACATCAGCACAAGTACAATAATTTGCAGAATGACCACATCCACGTGCAGTAATCAGAGCTAAGTCTTTTGAGGCTTAAGTAGCCAATTACTGTACTTTATTTGCAGCCTATAATTACATATCTGAAATAAGATTCATGTCGCTCTTTCCACTTTCTTCACCGTTACTGATGACCCAAGAAAGAGCTTTGTTGACTCCACTGTGAATGTGTCGTACCGCATGAAAAACTCCACCAACATCAACCTGCACACATATATAGGTCGATATTTTTCAAATTGCAGGACAGAAGTAAGGTCCAAGAAGGATAATACATGGGCAGACTTTATCCCTACGTAATTATTTTTGATAAATGCTCTACTCAAGAAAAAAAAATAGTAGCAACATGCAGTATTGTCAGCAAGAACAAATCGCATGACAACTATAGTAAAACTCACTATTACTCCTAATGTGGTTTATGTTTGAAAACATTTATCTTTTTATAACAACATAGTAATAGATAACCCAGGGTTTATACGAGCCCGTTTGGACATAAAATCTTTTTATTTTTTTTCAAAATCAGTGTTTGGCCTTAAAATTTTCAATTGTCACTTGAAGTTGAAGATGAATATTGGAATTTTTAGAAAATTTTAAAAACTCCAAAAATCTGTTTTTCTAAATTTTTCACTCAGGTCACTTAAAAAAAATCAAAAATAATCCAAAATTATATTTATGTCCAAATACAACTTTAATTTTCAAATACCATTTTCACTTAAAAAAATTCATTTTTTCTTGTTGGAATTTTACAATTCTTATGTCCAAACGCCCACAAGTTAAAACTCGATAAAAAGGGAGAAAAAGAACATTAACCTGCACAAAAGCACGACAAGATTTTTCCCTGCGCATTGTTTGTTGTCCACCGTTGGATCATCTGTCTCTCTTGCATTTGACCAATACACATACTTTAGCAAATTTTCACCTTCGGCCATGAATCTCTCCGGAATAAACTCCTCTGGTTTATCAAAAATCTTTGGATCTTTTGTAGCAAAAGGCTGATATCCAAACATCATTTCACCTTTCTTAATTAAGAAAGTTGAATCATGGCTTTGGATTAAGATATCTTCTTTGGCTTTACCATATTGAAATGGAACTGCAGGTTCAATTCTTAATACTTCATACACTACTGATTTTGTTAAACTCATCTTGTTGATTGCTGATAGAGTTATGGTCCCACATTCTTCTTTGATAATTGTCCTGATTTCATTTGCCAGCCGAGTGTGTAAACTCTTTCCTCCATTGGCGACCCACTTAATCAGTGCTGGGAATACAACTTTCATCCCACCATAAGCATTGAAACCTGTGCGTAGAGGTGGCAAAATAAGTCAGACTTTGTAGTAATCCGTCAAACACACTAACGGGTCGTTTGGTTGACGGTTAGAGTTATGCAAGTATTAGTTATACATGTATTAGTTATGTATGTATGTATTAGTTATACAGGAATAAGTAATGCAGAAATTAGTTATGCAGGAATTAGTCCTTCAGTAGTGCACGTGAAATTCAAAAAAAACGGTCATGCTAATTAGTGTATATAACTCTTTCTTGGGTTTGGGTTGAATTTTTTGCTATATTGTTACACACTTTATTTAGTAATTCAAAAACATCATAGCACAAGATTGTTATTTGCTGGAGAAAACGAACAGTGAAAAGTTTACTGGAGAGAATCTGAGAATGGCAATGATTTGTGGTAAACTTATAGGGATAAATTTGTCATTTTAGTATTTTATCCATATATTACTAATACATGTATTAGTTATTCCATCTTCTCTCCCGCATAAAATAATACACAGATTGACTCATAACTTATACATATATTATTTATGTAGAATTGTAAAATGCCAACCAAATATGGTATTAGTTATGCTGAATTTTGTACAAAATAACTAATGGCTACCAAACATGGTATAAGTTATGTTACCCCTAATACATGAATAACTTTCCCCCTAACCGGCTACCAAACGACCCCTAAGGGTTCGTTTGGTTGGAATAGGGCTTATGTCGGTATAAGTTATGCCGGTATAAGTTATGGTGAGATAAGTCATACTGAGATTAATTATGTTGGGATTGTCGTTTATTCACTATTTGATATGTTGTATTAAGAATGACAATTGTAGAATTTCTAAAAACAAGGTATAAATTATACTAGTGCTAATTACCCCATCCTCTATAAGGTATAAGTTATCCCGGTATTAAAATTAACACCGAGATAACTTATACCTGGTTTGCTAACCAAATAGAATATTAAGGTGATATTAAATTTTTATACCACCCCTATACCTTCTTATACCTCATTCCAAACGATCCCTAACTCGTCTAAGTTTAAACAAGTTGGATTATGAACTATTCTTTGACATGACTAAACGAGTTGAACTTAATATCACCCATTAAACTTGAGTCAAAACGAATTTCAAAATAGTGTGATCTAACGGGGCAAAAAAAATCTTTACACAAATAACCAGCTATATTCATTATTTACTTTTCTTAGCCGGTCTGCATGGATTATACATAGTTATACACATATTGAGGCAGAATTTCATGCTAATGGGTTTAAAAAAGAAAAAAAAATTTAAAAATTATAGGTAGTGGAAATTGAACCAATGACCTTATAAAAATTTTGAACCCCATAACCACTAAGTTGTGATTATGGGCTATGCCAAGGAAATTCAAAATATAATATATAGAGGTACAAAACAGATTTTATCTTATATATCAAGTGTAATATTTTGGCGAAGAGGGTAGCAAACCCCTTTCCGCCCCCTACATATCATATCTGAATTATTTATATATTAATATATCTATCAATTATTTTAAGTTTAAACGGTGGGATGAACAACTATTTAGGTTATTTCAAACATAAAAAAAGCAAATTTAGATGAACTTCAACTAATAATTTAAACAAACTATATTACTACTACTTTCAGATTTTTTTTGCAAAACAAAAAAGGAAAAGTTAAAAAGGTCAGAGAGAAGGTCGGATCATGTTGGACAAGTTGGGTTATGCCTGGATATTTTGACTTACTTTAACCCGACCACCTTGTTCTAGTGAGCAGGTTCAATTATGAATTGTTTATTTATTTGACCCTTGTTGATCCGTTCAATTTTGACATACCTGCAAGAAAAACTAAGTTGTGGCAAGCTTCATCTCTTTTGATCCCATTCTTCTCTGCTTCATTCAGTGTACTTTCAGCATGCTTGCTAAAAGCATCATAAAGCTTCTGGTAATTCGATCTCACTAGAAAAAATGGCAATGGGAAAGTATGCAACATTAAATCTTCCAGAAAGTTCGGCACAAATTTTAGACCTAGACTAACCAATGGAGCAAGTTGAGGCAACAACCATATATCAAAAAGTTTTGGTCCATTAGAGCCAAGATTTGTGTCATGGGGATTGGTTTTGTCACATAACAAACGAAAAACAAAGTCAAATGACATAATGTCGCTATTATTATTGAAATTTGCTTTGCCATTTTGAGAAATCTCATTTTCAAGATTTACAAAAAGGCCAGAAATTGAGCTTCTAAATAAAGGAATAAATTGATTATGAAGCTTGGAGATTAAAGATAAAAAGAACCCTTTAAGTGTAGCATGTGTTGACTCATAAGGATCAAGATAAGCACAAGGACGATATCCACCATAGAAATCAGTAGATGGCATGTACGTGCCATCAAGAACGTTCTTTTTTTCGACTTTAGAGTTGTCGAAAAGAACGGGAAATGTTTTGGCATCGAGGAGAACAATGACTTTGGGATTTTTAGCAATGAATGGACCTGGTGGCATGTTGGTTCTAAAGACAGTAGAATTGTATTTTTGTATCTTGGTAAGAAAGAATTCGTCTGTGCCGAGGTTGTAAAAGTAGTCATATCTATCTTTAATGGCTCCAAAAAATGGGAAACCATAGTCTCCTGGGATTTCTCGAACTGGAAGTTTGGAATTAGAAGTGGCAGAAGATGTGGAAAATGAAGACATCTTTTTGTTGTTTTTTGATTTGGAAGAAAAACTCCACACAGCTTTTACATTTATAGAAGGCAAGGAAGGAACTAAATAAACATTGTCGCTCCGTCTCGTATTAACAATCGTGGTTAAAATAGATATATCAAATTATTTGTCATTTTAGAAGTTTAAGATAAAATTGATTGTTTTTTTTTCTTTTTTATCCTTACAGCTTGTTTGGATGGTTGTTACTTATTGTATTATATCGTATTGTTACTTTAAATACAATGTTTGTTTTGATTGTTACTTAAATTTTATTGTATTGTATCGTTAAATCCGTCGTTATGTAACGATGAAATGTGCACTTTATGTAACGACCGATTTGGTGTGGTCATATCGTTACCTTGTCTTTTTCTCTCAATCTCACCCTTCATTATTATAAATAATTTTATATTATCATTTACCCTACCTTTTTATATACCGTATCATAATTTTTCTTTATAATATTGCAAGTTTATTTATCATATTACTGGTGCGTGATATCATGAAATGATAGCAAAACGATACAATCCATTCAAACATTATATTCATTAAACGATATAGTACAATACAATATAATACGATACAAAACATTATGAAACGATACGTAACAACCATCCAAACAAGCTGTTAGTAATAATTGTTCTTGAAGATGGAAATAAGACATAAATAGAATAAATATTCAATTAAGAGAGATTATATTTTAGGACATAAATAAGGGTAGAGTAGTCCAATCCTTTTCCCACTTAATATTTTTTAAGGGGCGTATAAAAAAGAAATACGAAACATACCGTAAGAAAGAGGGAGGACAATACTTCGTGGAGTTGGGGGGAGGGTGGTGTTCTGGTTAGGGTTGACGTTTGATAAGTTTATTTCACGATGTCAGTAATTAAATAATTTTTTGAAATCAAAATTATTTAATTTTGCTAAACTACCATAGGAAATATAATATCATGTGCATTGTCATCAATCATCATGTCTTCTTTGTTTCCTCATGATGATTTTTTGTCATTTTTAGATAGAGTTCAGTGATTTTTCTCGTGACAAAATAATTTAGTACTTTTATTTTGTAATACATAGATAAAATTAAGTAACTTTTTTCTTATAAAATATTTTAAAAACTTTGGTATGATAAAAGAAAGTTAAGTGATCATTTATAAAATTAGTAAGGTATTTTGATCTAGTAAATGATAGTACTTCGTTGAGGTGGGCTATAGCCTATAATGGATAAATATAAAATCAGGAAATTCTTTTTTTAAATTTATATAACTACTATTTTTTAAAAAAAATTCCTTAATTACCAACTTTTGAAAAAGAAATTTCAACCGGCACTTGATTACACTACTCCATCAATTGACACTCTCTGTGGTGGTGTCTCGTTATCCTATTTTATAAATTTTTAAAAACAATAAGATAACAAATACGGGCCATTCTACAATAAGCGAATCCATACATATTTTATAAAATTCATATATACCTGTTTATAGACAATCTTCACAGTATCCTAGAGATATTTGAAAGTCTTTCAAAGTCGCCTTCATTACTGGCAAATTTGTATGTGTATATATATATATAGAGACCTCAAAACTTCTCTGTAACAACTTTATTTATTTTGATATTCTTTTGGCTGTCATGGTGAAGTGCTATTATAGAAAACATATATTATAACATAATACAAAAATCGATTCCGACAAAAACTTGACTTCTATATATAGTGAATGAATGTTATAAAGGAATGTTGTTATAGATAGGTATGACTATATATACAGTAGCAGAGCCACTCATTAGTTAGGAGAGTCAATTGACACCCATCGTCAAAAAATTACATTATGTAGATAGGTTAAATTTTTAACTTTTATGTATATATACAGGGGCGAAGCCACATGCTCGAGAGGGTGGTTTTAAAATATTAGGTTTTAAAGGTATATAACATATTATTGAATACTCTTTGTCGAAATTTTTTTCACTCCTTTCAAATTTGAACACCCTTGAAAATTTTTTTGGCTTCGCCATTGTATATATATTATATGTTGATTCCCTTAATTTTTTTGTATGCTTACTTATTTATATTTTGACTACTCTTAATAAAAATTCTGATTCCGCCATTTGAAATTCAATAGCAAGCGAATTGCGTATTTCTCTCGGTTGTAAATTTTTCGGCGTAGGGACAAAATCTATCCGTTGCAGAGGGCTGGCCAGATTTCGAAGAGTTTTTTTTTTTACTTCTTTATTGTATTTAAAATCTTGATTTGCTAAATCATGCTGAGCAAGGAAAGACGTGCTACTGATAATGCACCATACTGCTACATTTTGAAGTTCCAGCTACTTAATGAATTGACCAAAGAATACATATTTTATGGCTCCCTCGACATCCCACATGCCTTTTGCTATATATATATTTTATCTCCAGTTGCGGATCCTCCTTGATGGGTGGGGTGTGCCAGATTGGCAAAATTTTTATATTCATATATTTTACTTTTACTTGACAAGTATATTAAAAATATATTTTTATTTTTATTTATTACTTTACGCATATCAATTGAAAATAAAAAGTTTTTCTTGTTATACTCACAATATTTATTACTCATTTCAAATTATTTTCTCAAATTCAATAAAATATGCATCAATTTATATGAGTATCATAATATACTTCATTTATTATTTCTTAAGGGCATGAAAAGTCAAAACGTATCAAAGAAAAGTGAACAGAGGGAATATATGTTAAAACTTTTTTTTTAAAAAAAGGTCAACTATTTAATCTTGGCGATTACAGTTTCATGCTAGACAAAGGTGCCATTGAAAATGTTGATTCCATTTGTTTTTAGGTATAATATATGTAATTTTTATATTTGCAAATCAAAAACCTATTAAGTTAACTCGAATAAATTTGAAAGAGATCGAATAGAATCGAATACACATTCCTAGCGAGAAGAGAAAACTTTTTTCTTCTGTTTTGACATCATTTTTCCCTATGCGCTCGAAAAACTAAATAGGAAACATTAATAATCAGAAATTGGTTTGAGAGATTGGGGGTGGGGGGGGGGAAATAAAGTTGAGGGAGACCAATAAGTTATCATAGCTTTGAGGAGTTTATCACCTAAATGGTCACTCAATTATTTCAAATTATCTTTTAAAGTTATTTTTCTTTCGTTTGTAATAACAAAGTCACTGAACTATGTCTATTGCACTCAGAAGATCACTCAATTAGATTTTTTAAATTTTGGATTGTCAAATACCTGTTTTACCCTCTAACTTATAAACATTTATCTTCTTTTAATTTTTTAAACTTTTTAATATTATGATTTTCCCTTTTTAATTTATATTATGGACTTACCTATAGAATAAATAAATGTTATTTGTAAATTAAACAAATAAAAAGTATTTAGGCATCTATAATACTGGAATAAAAAAATAATGAGCATAGTAAAAAAATAATTAGAATAATTTATTCATTAATAATAATTTTAGTGTTAACAATAAGAAATTTAAAATTTTATTTACACAATTCAGAATGAAAAAAAATAAAGGTTGTAAAATATATATTACATGCACGTAATATAATAATAAATATTTAAATAAATGTATTTTTATAATATACATTATATATTCTTGCTCAATTATATTATTATGTTTCTACCAATTGTCACGACCCTAAACTCAAAGCTGTCGTGATGGCGCCTATCGATGATACTAGGCCAGCCGACTTTTACAATACTTCAATAATTCATTCAAAGATGTGCTAAAAAGCCTTTTTATAATAGAATTTTCATAAAGAGAAACAAGAGTTGAACTCAATATAGAAATGCAGAAAGAAAGCCCCAAACATCGGGGTGTCACTAAGTCATGATCATCTAAACATAATTAGTCCGACAATAACAAGACCAACATAGTCTGGAAGCCAAAATACAACTAAAGGAAAGATAGGGAAGAAGAAAAGCAAGGCTGCGAACGCCTGACATCTACCTCGCTATCTCCAAAATTTGCTACGAGGACTATCAACAACCTCTACGATCAACTACTCCTGGATCTGCACACGAGGCCCAAAGAGTAACATTAGTACACCAGCTTAGTAGGTAACAGAAATAAATAGGGAATTGAGAAGTAGTGACGATCTATGCAAATACAGTTCATTTCATAGAATTCAGTAAAGTGTAGGCATGCTTTCAGTCCAGAGTTTAAGTCAAATCAGTTGATTTAAGTCAAGTTCAAGTAAAGTCAGATAAATTATCTTTCAACAGTTCTCAAAACAAGGATATAAGGCAACTATGTGCATCAATGATGGAATTATATACTGCCTCTCGGGCAATCATCACTCAGTCCTCCCAATCATTTCAACCTCACACCCACTCATTCCTCACAATCGCTCAGCACTCGCACTCAGTAGGTACATGCGCTCACTAGGGGTATGTGCAGACTCCGGAAGGGTTCCTTCATCCCAAGCGCTATATCAATGACAATCATGGTAGAATAAATGAAACATGTTGCGGCGTGCAGACCGATCCCATAAATGTCCTCAAAATTAGGCCCTCGACCTCACTCAGTCATCAATCTCTCCAATCTTTCGGGCTCTCAGAAATCAAGATAATCAGCCTAAACAACAATGACAAGATGCATCAAATAGAATAACGGAGATTGAGATGTAATATAAGAATGCACAACATGACCGAGTATGGAATATCAATAAAAACAGTGAGATGACAGCAAGAAACGACTACTAAGGGTCCCAACAATACTGGCATAAAGTCAAAATATGGTATCTAACATGATTTACAATCAATCTTTCTATAACACATATGAAGCATATGGCTAACAACAGGTTGTTCAACTTTACAGTTTCTACGGGACGAACCAAGTCACAATCCCCCATCGGTGCGCGCCCACGCACCCGTCAACTAGCATGTGCATCACCTTCAAAATAGTCACATCACACAAAATCCGGGATTTCATACCCTCAAGACCAGATTTACAACTATTACTTACCTCAATCCGAGCAAATCTCTACTCCGCAATGCCCTTGCCTCTCGAATC